GGGATGGGTATAGTGGTGGGGCATGGTAGGGTAAAAATGGAGAGAACTGTACTTGTACAATAAAAAAGAGACAATAGTAATCTGAAAGAATGTAAGCACCCCTATGTTCATTGTGGTATTACATACAATCACCAAGCTATGGAAGCAGCCCAAGTGTCCATCAGTAGATGAGTGGACAAAATGACTATGGGACATTTACATATGGAACACTACTTGGTCATAAAAAAGAAAAATCTACCCTTTCAAAGAGCATGGATGAACCTGGAGAACATTATGCTAAGTGAAATAAGCCGAACAGAGAGACAAATACCATACGATTTTACTTATATGTGGAATCTAATGAACAAACTGAATTAACAAGCAAAATAGAAACAGTCATAGATAGAGAGAAAGGTGACAGGTATGGTGTGGAGGAGGTCAGTTGTTGGAGGGATTGAGCAAAAAGGCAAAAGGACTCATGGACATGGACACCAGTGTGGGGATTTTAGGGGTAAGGGAATATAAGGGAGTTAAATGGTAATGGAAAAACATAAGAAGCTCTATTTAACAATGCTTTTCCTGTCAGACAAGGGAAGGAGCACTAAGTAAAACTGATACTTTGATTTAGAAGAAAGAAAAACTCTCCAGAAAACAGAGCTTGTAAAATTCAGAATCCACCTATAATATCAAGTTAAAAATAACGGCCTAAGGATTGGCAAGCAGTTCTTTCACAATGCTCCATCTCAGCTCTTAAGCATGGGTTATTTTTCAAGTCTTTGAAACTATATGTGATTCTGAACCTCACCCTACCAGCATTTGCAATCCACATAAAACACTAACACAGACTACATAATTACTGGTAACTTTAAAAACTAAAAACAGGTGACCTCTACATATTTATGAATGAAAAACAAATGGGCTATGGCAAATAACTTCAGAAGCTGTTGAAGTTATCCTAGGCAGAGTATGGTCAATTTTATCCAGACATGGAAAATAATAAATAGCAACATTTTTAAAAGCTCAAGTATATAAAATTAGGCAATGTCTGATACACAGTATAAACTTTAGATTATAGATTCTATTTCAATTCACAGTACAAGCAGTTGAACTAAAAACTTCCAATACTATTACAATGAATATATTAGCATGAATACTAAGAACTTTGCCTTTTAAAAAATTAGGAAAACAAATAATTTCTTCAAAAATTTTATCATGATTTTTAACAATACACATTTTAATATATATAGGACTATTATGTCCATGATAGATCATTCCCTTTGATCCTAGAGCATCCCTACTATGACTTATAAGAGAATTTTCTCCATTTCTCCATGTTTTGTAGTCTTACACAATTTTGCTTACTTTACTCTTTTCACCTATTTTTTTAATTATTCAGGGGCTCAGAGCAGGCCTCTCCAAGATGTGCCATTTTGACATGTTGATTAATTTGAGCTGAAGGCAATCAGACCCTGTGGGCTCATTAAGAAAGTTATCTTTCTCTTAAAGAATTTAAATTCGGGGTTGTGCAGTAAGAGTTACTATCAGAGATAACTTTTTCTGACCTATATATAGGGCAAGGCAAACTTCTAATTACTAAACATCTGGCCTTTTCTTTTCACTCTATGAATGGCATACCTTCCCTGTGAAGGCTCAGGGCATGACACCTCACTCCCTGGCTCAAGGTGCCATATAAATCTCATTACTCTTTTAGTCTCTAAACCTCTTATATGTGTGGAGTTCCCATATGTATGTACGAAATTAAATTTGGTTATCTTCTCTTGTTAATCTACCTCATGTTGATTGTTTTATTAGACCAGCTGGAAAAACCTAGAATGGTAGAGTATAATTTCTTCCTCTGCCGCATCCAGAACAAGCAACCAACTTGGGGTAGAGAAAGGGAGACAGAGGTGATGACCATTCTTCTAAATCCAATGGCTGTTCTTTGGGAGGCAGGAATTAGCCTGGGCCTTTTCACTCAGAGGAGAGATTTCACTTGTTTGTTGGCCAATTTTTTTTGACATTGACTTTATAAAGTTGGGGATTATCCCTTCTAAAACTGATTATACTTTACATGCATGCTCTAAAAAAGTCACCCAGTTTTCTTTAAGTTCCTGAGAAGATTTACATGAAGAAAAATTTCGTAGCTATAAGCACAACCTACTATTGTTTAACAATATCCCTTTTAAAATACTAAGTAATAGCTTGAACAAGGTGATCCCCATTTTCTCTAGCTCTAATATTCTGTGATTCAACACATACTGAGTTTCTACATATTGCTAAGTGCTGCATATTGTGATGGGAATATAAAACACCAGACATGATCATGGCCATGGGGAAAGAAAGATAGGGAAGCATGGAAATGCCAGACTATTAGCAGCTAGAGGTCAAGTTTTCTATATTATGCAAAGCTGTATGTTCATGGCCTGGCAATGCCTAGTATATTAAAAGTGTTTAATCAATATTATGGAAAGAGCAAGGGTAAACATAAGGGGCTATGGGACTTTGCCCAACCTAGAGATTTAGTGAAGATTCAACTTGTACATTCAATCTGTATGTTTTCTGGTTGTCATGCCATTGTTGCTAACTATAGCACTGCTACTTTTCTAAAAGCTCAGAGGTGTGGTGGTGTTTATTCAGCTTTTGGACTTGCAGGGCTTATAAAGAGATTACTGCTTAAGTAGGTATGGTTAGTTTCAAGGGAAACTACTCCCATACTGTGCTTGTAGTTTTTCAATTTAAAGGGCCAGTGACCTGAAGCTAACCAATTTATTGGCAGTGGACAAAAACATTGGAAAGATCATCCAGTACAAAGAATCCTATACTAGAAATAGAATCATGGCTCTAATTTTAAAACAGAATCAAATGTCTCTCAATAAAATATCCTTCTCTTCTGAATCTGCCAGAACAGTAGAAAAATACTAAGTAGGCACAAGAATTCATACAACATAGATATATATGATGATTATGCACTTTCTTTGTCATTTTCAAGAAATTCAAAACTTTCAATGGTAGACTGTCATTCAGTTCTCTAGAGGTAGAATAACTTCAGCAATAGTTCTATCATTATAATTCATTAATTTGGAGTTTTTAAACAATTTTACTCAATATTTTAACTTTTTTCCCTAAAATAAATTGCTGAATATTTTATTTGTTTTTCTAATATGATATATAAAGTTATTTTAATACATTTTAATACAGTTTACAATACCCTTATAGACAAATAGTCATACTTCAGTGTGCCACTTAAATGAAGAATAACCAACCATTCATCTGTAACATGCAGATATGCAAGACTCTGGATTTTCATTTTTAAGTGCTTAATTACCTGTTTAAAGAGAGAAATAAAATAAAAGAGTCCAGGCCAAGTTCATGTGGGTTTGAAATTACTTTTCTTTTTCTAAGACTCCTCAATAGTACAAGCTATTATGTGCATACACGCCAATTTAGAAGGAAATGTGAAAAAGAACAAAAAGTATCAGAAATTTAATTGAAATATAAGATGCAAAAGCCAAAATCAGTCCTGGCTGGTGTGGTTCAGTGGATTGAGTGCCAGTCTGTGAACTGAAGGATCCCTGGTTCGATTCCAATCAGGGCACATGCCTGGGTTGCAGGCCACATTCCCAGGAGGGGGTGTGGAAGAGGCTACCGCACACTGATGTTTCTCTCCCTCCCTTCCTCTCTCTCTAAAAGTAAATAAATAAAATCTTTTTAAAAAGAGTCAAAATCAAAAGTTGAAAAATTTAGGCAGTATATTCAGCGACAGGACAATATAACTTATTCAAAAGACTAATCTAGTCAGCAATAAAGCTAAATCTTCACATTAAGTATCCCACTGTGGGCAGTTATGTAATCCAAGGTTATTTTTGAGAATTTCCTGCCTCCAATCACCTGCAAATTTGTTTACAATATTCCTCTTTATGAAAGTACTCAGTATTACTAAAGGACCACACAAAACAATATTAATTTATGAGCCAAAAATCTAAGAATGAATAAAAAATTTTTAACGTAAATCTAAATTGCCATTCTCAGGCAATTCATGTTCCATACAGTAACTTACGAATTAGGCAGGAAAGAAAGCATATTTGAGAAGAAAAAGGCACTGGATTTAACCTTGAAACAAGGTGACTGTCATATAGTTGTTAAAGGAATTTACTTATTATCAGATAAATAATTTACAGTATTTATTCCCTCTAGATATATAAAACAGTGAATCAATCTGCAGTTCAAGATATTTCCTTAAACCCAGAGGAGTATGATATGGCTTTACCTTTGAAAACCAAATTGAAAAAAAAAAAAAAAACACAGCTCTAATGTGGTTTATCTCTAGACACCAGATTTAACATTAAACAATTCAAACTAAATGCTAATTCTCAAGTTTCCTTTTCATATGTCTGTAATTTATGCAGATATAACATATGTAAAATGAAAGCTTAAAACCATTTATTTATCAGGAAATGCTTAATGTTATATAGATAGTTACTGTGACTTATTTAAATATATAATCTATTAATCAATTCATCTGTTCACCCATGCATACATTTTATCCTTCACAATTCTTTTAATCTACTGCTATTAGTCATCCTCTGCCCTTGAAAATGCATACATGCCTTCAGGGGAAAAAAGCTGCATACATAATAAAGATAAAAAATCTCTGACCAAAATAAGTTTTCTCCTGTTGATAATTTCCTTTAAGCAAATGGTTACATAAGGAGACTCTGTTTTGTTTTGGTTTAGGTCTAATCAAGCCTCATAAGACTTACCTTGTGTATCTTGTGAGACTTCAAATAAAATTCTTCTTTGAGAAATGGCACTGTTTTCTTATGTAATTGTTCCCTTGGCTACTGTACCTGGTTCAAAACATCATAAACTAAAATTTATGCTGTTAATATAAAAACAGCCTTTACAAAACTTCAGCTACTGTGAACAGAATAAGTTTGGAACTATCCAGAAAGTACACAGACACAGACACACACACACACACACACACACACATATAAACAAAATGTTTAAATAAAGGATATCGTCATCTTCTCCACAAATTTATCATGTTGATTTTCTGTTTGGGGGAATTTCTTGATGTCACGTTCCAGATGAACAATTTGTTGTTCCATTGCTGCAAGGTTGCTCTTGAGAATCTGAGCTGAAACTGAAGAACAATATGCAAAGCCTTTAGAATATTTTATTAGGTATTTCAGAAAAAGATTAAAAGAAAATTGTATCAGTTAAAGTATTTTTTAATATGGAAAAGACTTCCATGAAGTCAAGTCATTTTTGATTCACTGCTCATAAAAATTCTACTCTCCATTAACTAAGTGAAATGTGTAATATAATATATCAAATTTTCAGGTTTAATATGAGAATGTCACCATTTCTGTCACCCATTAGTTCAAATGAATGTATTCCTACTTAAATTTATTGATGAAATTTCTAATATTTCATTCTTTAAATCTAATTTGAAGATTAAAGAGAAACTAAGGTTCAAAGAGATCTTTTTTTATCAAAGCACGTTCTTGACTTTATAAATAATTTAAGGTTAAATTACAGAACAGGATCAAATATTTTTCTTTTGTTGAAGTATTCTAGGTTGTATAAACCAACATCTATGCTAAAAGTTCCATCCTCTGGTACCCATACTTTTCATACTCATAGAGATATTAAAAATAACTATTGATACATATAGAGAATTTAGAGCAAAATCCAGCCAACACAAATTCATATACACACCCAAAAATTTTCAGTGTGCCTTCCTACATTATCATCACTTGCTTTCATTATCCCAAATAGTCTCTGCACTTTTCTTTTTCTCCCCTCACTGACAACCAATGATTTTAAGTATTGTATTGAAATTCCCCTAAATACATATTCCAGATCTCTCATGATCAATTATTTTCAGAGAGGTACTTAAAAAATCTAATATTATTTTATAGATAGATAGTCTATTACTACATGATGACCAATTAGATATGAAGACATTTCTATCAATATCAATGGCATCTGCCAGGGTTCTAGTTGAAAAGACTAGGTAAGTTTTATAATTTGATAGGTAGCCTGTGACATTGGTTCTTAATTCCAGACCTCTGAAACACTGTGTTTTTCATCAAAGAACTATGAAACAGAAATAAAATAATACTAAAAATTTTTAAGTAAATTCCAGTCTCATTCTGAGGCATATCATCAGAATTACAATGAAAATTTCAATATGTGACAAAATCAACCCCCTGACAAATTTTGGTAAAACTTTCCTGATACAAAGTCCCCACACTGATTGCATACATTTATGACTCCATGAGTCATAATTTCCTTATATAAGGCCTGTCCAGAAGGTATCCAGTTATGTAATATGAAAAACAGAGATGTTCATTGAAGAAGATACAAGATAGAAGAAACATTGTACATAGGACAAAGACACCTCAGTCCCCTTCAAAGTAGGCATCTTGGGACCTCACACAGTTCTTCCAATCGCCATCAGCCAGCCCAACGTATTTTCCTGAATCTTATCGATGATCTGAAATCTCTTCCCTTTCAAAGGTGATTTTAATTTTGTGAAAACCCAGAAGTCACAGGGCACGAAATCTGGGCTGTAGGGAGGCTGAGTCACCTGGATGATTTGATGTCTTGCCAAAAACACCCCTCTACATGAGACATGATACATCAATGGGTGCATCGCGGTGATAAAGCTGCAAATCACCAGTTGCCCATAACTGTGGCCTTCTGAATCATCTGAATAGTTTCCACAGAGAAATGTTCAAGATTAATGCAAAATTTGATGCATATTTGTTGCTCTGCTTGCTCAGTCATTTTGAATGTGACGGCCACACCATACACATGTTCGCTCAATAGTGTCTACCACCCCTACTGACCACTATAGTGAAGTCTTCATTGTTCATGCATGTGCATTCCAGTCCACTCTCCTTGGCTACCAGGTTACATTGATGTGCACAAACCGCTCTCATTATACTAACAATGGATGGACTTTTTCTAGGCAAACCTTATATACATGGAAGTTCAAGAAACTGAAAAATCAGGTGCCAACACTAAAGACATATTTTTTTCTTATAAATATGTCAAAGAGTTCTGTACAATTTTTTTTGCCACTTACTTAGATCCACAGAGCTTGAAAAATACTATTTATTGAAGAAGTCTAATAGCTCTTTGCTTGCCCAAAAATTTGCTAATGGCTTAGCAATCATTCGTTGCTGTATTTAGAGGACGAGTTAGCTGTGGAGGAAATCATTCTCTCTGACTTTAAAACTGAATTATTTTTTCACTGTGGGGTTTTCTGCTTAATTCTTGCTAATTATTCACAAGATTTCTCCTTATCCATTTGCTTAATTGAAAACCTGAAGATATAAAATTGACAAGTTGTTTATGTCATGTTGGTTGCCTGGAAGAAATAATACATCAGGAACTTTATGCAAAAAAACAAAATGCCCAAAGGCCAGGTTTAGGCCACAATAGTAATCCTCCTACTAAGAGCAATAGTAACTTCAGTATTAAAAAGAGGATGAAAAGGAGAATTCATCTTTTGATTGTTAAATACAGAAATAGTCCGAGCAAGTTGCTATGCATACAAAAGTCCAAATATCTCAAATAACAATAGACTATTTTTAATCCAGACATTGCTTTTTACCCTAAGGTTAAATTCTGAATAAAACACTACTTTCCAGATATTTCTTGTCTGCAATTTCACATGTCAGATCCTTAGTTCTCAATAAGTTCCTCCAAAGTTCTAGTCTAAATTCTCTATCATTTATAGGCACTTTTGTTTAAGTGATCTTCCACATGTTAGTTTCTGCTTTGAATGGGATTTTTTATTGTTGTGTACATTAACACAGTCTCCACCATAAAACCTAAAGCTACTTAATGGTAAGATCCATATCTAATTCTTCGCTTTTCCCTCAATAAATATTTGTTGAATGATCATGTATATCTCAAGAAATTTTGGTTCAGATTTAAATTTATGCTCATTTCTGCAACTGAATGTGCATTCAGAACTTAGATACAGTCATAGTGACTGAAAGTTACCATATCTATTATCATGTGAGTGTGGAAAGGAAGCAGAAAGTTGGCATATGTCTAATTATTTGCAGAGGAGGCAGGGCTGCAGAAGATGCTTAGACAAGAAAGTGAGGGATTGAGATAAGAAGAGAAGGAACACCTTTCTTTATTAGGCTTCTCTATTCTTCCCCTCTAATTAGTTATTAATTTATATTGAAAAAAGAATGAACTACTGGAACTGTAATAATGTAAGGATTTTAGCCCACATGTAAATTTGTGGCTACACTATAGAAACAATACCATTAGAGAAAATGTATACCTTTAAATTTGGTTGAATCATGATATCTTAGAGTTATAAGTGACATCAAAGGGGATTTGGACCAGACCTTCAGGTTTTAAAAACTGAGGTAACAAAGAGTCATAGTCACTGAGGGAAACCAGTTTTGCTACCCTGATGCTGCCTTTTGGGGTACTGATTTTAAGCTGTTTATTAAGAACCAAGACGCAGAAAGAAACTTCAACGCTCCTTTTTTTTCCCTGCCCAAGAGATTCAGACAGGAAAACCTGCTTCAGGAAAGGAATCATAGGATGCTGCCTTGCCTAATTTGAATGAAGTATGTTAAACAAGAGGGCTTCAGGAAGGTGTCTCTAAGCTAGGGAACTCTTGTATCCCATTGTTTCTGGGTTGCCGGAAAGAATTTTCTTGCTGTGTATGTTCTACTCTTCCTCAACTACCTGAAAATGGCCCATTCTCACTTCTGAAACCTAATACCCTCTTCCCCCTTTTCTCCTTTGTCCAAAATATGTTATATAGTCAATGTTGCTTCATTGGGAATGCCAAATGTCATTGGGATTTTCACAGATTCATCATGTCTAGATGAATTCCCCATGCCCTTATAATAAATACTGGATTTTCTCATGTTAATTTGTCTCTGATAATTTGATTATTAGACCAGCCAGAAGAATTCAGAAGGCGGGAGAAAAAGTATCATTTTTTGTAGTCCCCACCCTATGTTTCTCAAAAAAGAGACTAAGAAGAATCTTGCTTTTTTAAGACTTTACTAAGGGTGATGGTGGGGTGTGACCCCAGGGAAATGGTATGAGGAAAAATGGAAGAAAGCGATGCAAGAATAAGTTACTGAACTGACCAGAGCTGTATAAAAAATACAGCTGGTTGCTTAGTATCTCAGGTTGTCTCCATCAAAGCCAACCTAATGGCCATGTGACCTGTGTAGTGGCAAAGGACCCTGTGCTTAGAAGGGGTCGGTACTTTAATGCTTTGTTGTCACCATTTTGAAATTCTCAATCATTTATTAAATGGGGGTCTGCATTTTCATTTTGCATTGGGCCCCACTAACCATGCAGTCAGTTCTCATCTCCAAATAAGACAAATGAAACAACTGCAACTTGTAAGAACTGGTTACAGAGACTGAGCAATTCACGTGCTGGCTCCTTCTCATTTCCTATTATCTCATTGGTGAAATTCTCTTACAAAGTGGCTGAACTTCTGGCTCTGGATGGGGTATAAATCATTTGGCTCAGGCCTGGAGGTGGATGGTGGCACAGAAGGGGCACCCAGTGAATCTATGCAATGTACCCGGTGCATGCACTAGATCCAGAACAGAGGATTTGCTCTATCCTAAGTGGCTTATTCCCTTTTCTACATTTGATAAAACTTTTTAAAAAAATGTTCACTTATAATCAACATCAGCTTACTTGAAGTTTTCTTAACCATCAGATCAGACTGCATTTTGCCTTATTGCCACACTGATCAAGTCTACTCCCTGTTTTACGGGAATGGTGTCACTAGCATCTTCTCAATCTTTCCAGGCTACATTTATTGAGTAATTAATTTGCACTAGACATTATTCTAAGTGGTTTCATGTATTAACTAATTTAATCTTCATGAAAACTCTGAGGTATGTTCTACTCTAAAGCAGGGGTATGCTATGAGCCAAATGATGTCTTCTCAGTCAATTGTAAACGTAAAGTAGTGTCTCTAGTACCTGGAAGGCTAGACAGTTGAAATAAAATCTGTACCCACTGGCACAAAGGCATATTATTTATATTGGAGAACAGGCATGGTCTGAGAAGCTAGACTGAGCTAGATTCTAATTTCTGCCATACCAGCTATTAGTTGGGTTACCT